CTGGACAGGAAGGGTTCTTGACTGATTGAGAAAGAATTCTCCAACAGGTCAGAGGACTGGAGACAAGGGAGGAATCCATTAACACAGAGTAGCAGCGAATGGCAGCAGCCATGCAGGAAGTAGAGAGCAGGGAAGACCAGAGGGAGGAAAGGGAAGCTCCTTGGACTCCTGCTCAGCCTAAGGCAGATCCCTCACCACTTGCTGAAGCCAGGGTGACCTGCTGTACAGTGTCTGCTTGAATCTGCACGGCATGGGAACTAAGTCCCTACCACCCCAGGATTTGGGGGAGCCACAGAGCACTGGGTGGAGTGAGATTATGTTCTGAGGGCTTCCCAAAGGCAAAGGCAGGAGATTTTGGACAAGCCACTGAAGAGCATGACTGTATAGCTGTAGTCCTGCCTGGGTCACTCAGGCGACGGGGACTTGCAAGCCCAAATCAGAAAGCTCAGTAGTACCTCCCCTCGCCTCCCCTCAGAAACAAAAATATACTGGCCTGAAATAAAGCAGGGAGGGAGAAAAGGACTGTGGTACGACTAGAAAGCTCAATGACATGGCAAAGTGACAGAGACATTTTACCACCAGAGGTGGAGGTTCTTATCTTTATCATGGAAAAGAGTTCAGAGACAAGTGCAATCGGCTTATGCAACAAGAAAGGTTATTTGATAAAAAACAGTACGCACCCAGGTGGGAGTTCGGGCAACCTCAGAGAGGAGGCATGCTTAAGGGTTTAGGGTTTGGGACTTTATAGGGCTTTGGGGGTAGGGGTCAGCATAAGGCATGATGTCTACAGGTGATTCATAATTCCTTTGAAGTTTTATTTTAAGAATAGGGTTATTTAGGTGAATGTGTTGATACGGATCTCAGCATTCTTTATCCACATAGGTTCATTTACACTTTGTTGGTCTATCCCCTGTCCTGGTTACAAAGTTAATTGATTAAGGGTCTGGAAGAAGAGGAAGAACAGCATGTAGATTAAGTTAAAAAATAGGATGGGCCTTTTTTGCAGGCTAGGTAGGTTGTACAATGGCATGAGTTTTGTCCCATTTCCCTGTTCTATCTCTGTATCATTTGGTATTTATTGTTTGCAAACTGCTTACTTCATTGAATATTTTCATGCCAACACCTTACCCTTTTAAAATGTTGCAGTATATTCCCTAGTTTATTTATTACCAAACTTATGCTACTGCCATAGACTGAATGTGTCCTCCCAAAACCCTTATGTTGAAATCTAATCCCCAAGGTGCTGGTATTTGGAGATGGGCCTTTGGGAGGTGATTAGGTCATGAGGGTGGAGCTCCCACGAATGAGATTAGTGCCTTTATGAGAGAGAGCCTAGAAATCACTCTTGCCCCTTCCACCATATAGGACACAGCAAATCATTTATGAATCAGGCAGTGGGCCCTCACTAGGCCCACTCTCCTCAGTAGTACCTGAGGTACTGAGGTACACTACCTCAGTAGTACCTCAGCGCCTTGATCTTGGACTACTAGCCTCTAGAAATGTCTGCTGTTTATAAGCCACACAGTCTATGGTAATTCTGTTTTAGCACCCCAAGAAGACTAAGACAATTAGTGATCATGAAGATGTAAATTTAAAAACAAGAAGATGCAGCTTTTTCACCTGACAGTTTGGCAAAAATGGAAAAGGGATGAAAGAACTCTTGCCCACTGCTGGTGGGCCTTTGGGGAGGACAGTTTGGCAGTACCCATTAAAATTTAATCGACCCCATTGGTCCTGGCCGCCCAGCTTCTTGATCTCTAGCCTAGAGAAATGTGTGCAAGCCTGAGCAGGAGGGCGGGCCCAGTGGTATTTGCAGAGCACTGTTGCGCAACATTGAAACAACCTGTTGTCTTCCCTGGTTTTGTGTCCCAGCTGGATTGTAAACCCTGGAGGTCAGGTGCCGGGGTCTCAGCTGGCTGACCGTTTCCTGGGCGTAGACAAAGAACTTGCCCATATGCCAGGAGGTCAGAAGACACTTTCTGGTTTTTTTTTTTGTTGTTGTTTGCATTTTAAAAATCCAGATTCTCTGTACGTAAGTCCAGAACCCAGATAGAATGAGTGGGCTTATACTGACAGATGGCAGTGCCCTGCCGTCTTCTCTGCTCCCAGTCCCAGGAATCAGCTGCTTTCCATGTGTGAAAAGGAAATGGAGGCACTTGCTGGAGGCTACACAGCGGGACTTAGAAGCAGGCAGGCAGGATCCTGGCCTCCTGGACAGAGTGCAAGTCCCCTTGAGAATACCGCCTCCCCTCCCAAGCAAAGACCACCGTTCCTGTTTGGTGTGTCTGCTTTCAGACTTCCTCATGAATTTTCAAATATGTAAAGGTTTTTTTTTTGTGTGTGCATTTTTGAACATAAATAGTATTGTTGTCGGGCAGCTGCATCTGAGGAGGTCTCTCCCTGCACACTAGGTGAAACTTCAACCTGGACAGGAAGGGTTCTTGACTGATTGAGAAAGAATTCTCCAACAGGTCAGAGGACTGGAGACAAGGGAGGAATCCATTAACACAGAGTAGCAGCGAATGGCAGCAGCCATGCAGGAAGTAGAGAGCAGGGAAGACCAGAGGGAGGAAAGGGAAGCTCCTTGGACTCCTGCTCAGCCTAAGGCAGATCCCTCACCACTTGCTGAAGCCAGGGTGACCTGCTGTACAGTGTCTGCTTGAATCTGCACGGCATGGGAACTAAGTCCCTACCACCCCAGGATTTGGGGGAGCCACAGAGCACTGGGTGGAGTGAGATTATGTTCTGAGGGCTTCCCAAAGGCAAAGGCAGGAGATTTTGGACAAGCCACTGAAGAGCATGACTGTATAGCTGTAGTCCTGCCTGGGTCACTCAGGCGACGGGGACTTGCAAGCCCAAATCAGAAAGCTCAGTAGTACCTCCCCTCGCCTCCCCTCAGAAACAAAAATATACTGGCCTGAAATAAAGCAGGGAGGGAGAAAAGGACTGTGGTACGACTAGAAAGCTCAATGACATGGCAAAGTGACAGAGACATTTTACCACCAGAGGTGGAGGTTCTTATCTTTATCATGGAAAAGAGTTCAGAGACAAGTGCAATCGGCTTATGCAACAAGAAAGGTTATTTGATAAAAAACAGTACGCACCCAGGTGGGAGTTCGGGCAACCTCAGAGAGGAGGCATGCTTAAGGGTTTAGGGTTTGGGACTTTATAGGGCTTTGGGGGTAGGGGTCAGCATAAGGCATGATGTCTACAGGTGATTCATAATTCCTTTGAAGTTTTATTTTAAGAATAGGGTTATTTAGGTGAATGTGTTGATACGGATCTCAGCATTCTTTATCCACATAGGTTCATTTACACTTTGTTGGTCTATCCCCTGTCCTGGTTACAAAGTTAATTGATTAAGGGTCTGGAAGAAGAGGAAGAACAGCATGTAGATTAAGTTAAAAAATAGGATGGGCCTTTTTTGCAGGCTAGGTAGGTTGTACAATGGCATGAGTTTTGTCCCATTTCCCTGTTCTATCTCTGTATCATTTGGTATTTATTGTTTGCAAACTGCTTACTTCATTGAATATTTTCATGCCAACACCTTACCCTTTTAAAATGTTGCAGTATATTCCCTAGTTTATTTATTACCAAACTTATGCTACTGCCATAGACTGAATGTGTCCTCCCAAAACCCTTGTGTTGAAATCTAATCCCCAAGGTGCTGGTATTTGGAGATGGGCCTTTGGGAGGTGATTAGGTCATGAGGGTGGAGCTCCCACGAATGAGATTAGTGCCTTTATGAGAGAGAGCCTAGAAATCACTCTTGCCCCTTCCACCATATAGGACACAGCAAATCATTTATGAATCAGGCAGTGGGCCCTCACTAGGCCCACTCTCCTCAGTAGTACCTGAGGTACTGAGGTACACTACCTCAGTAGTACCTCAGCGCCTTGATCTTGGACTACTAGCCTCTAGAAATGTCTGCTGTTTATAAGCCACACAGTCTATGGTAATTCTGTTTTAGCACCCCAAGAAGACTAAGACAATTAGTGATCATGAAGATGTAAATTTAAAAACAAGAAGATGCAGCTTTTTCACCTGACAGTTTGGCAAAAATGGAAAAGGGATGAAAGAACTCTTGCCCACTGCTGGTGGGCCTTTGGGGAGGACAGTTTGGCAGTACCCATTAAAATTTAATCGACCCCATTGGTCCTGGCCGCCCAGCTTCTTGATCTCTAGCCTAGAGAAATGTGTGCAAGCCTGAGCAGGAGGGCGGGCCCAGTGGTATTTGCAGAGCACTGTTGCGCAACATTGAAACAACCTGTTGTCTTCCCTGGTTTTGTGTCCCAGCTGGATTGTAAACCCTGGAGGTCAGGTGCCGGGGTCTCAGCTGGCTGACCGTTTCCTGGGCGTAGACAAAGAACTTGCCCATATGCCAGGAGGTCAGAAGACACTTTCTGGTTTTTTTTTTTGTTGTTGTTTGCATTTTAAAAATCCAGATTCTCTGTACGTAAGTCCAGAACCCAGATAGAATGAGTGGGCTTATACTGACAGATGGCAGTGCCCTGCCGTCTTCTCTGCTCCCAGTCCCAGGAATCAGCTGCTTTCCATGTGTGAATTTGTTTTTCTGGTATTTTCTCCATATTTCTTTACTAGTTGATTTAACTGCTATTTCTTGATTTTTGTTTCATGGTAGGTATGACCTATTGACTTTCTTTCATGGAAGGGAAGGGATTTTTCATTTTATTACCTGCACGGCCTCCTCTCCTGCCCCATGCCACCAGCTTCCTCTTCCCCTATTCTTCTGAGAATGCTAAAGCTTCATATTGGGCTAATTCAATCTTTATATTGTATAACTGTTATCCACAGAGAACTGCTTGTATAACTATGATTATAGTTTCTTGTACAACTTTTAGTTTTCCCAGAAGTTAGCAACTGCCTCTCCTTTATTTTGTTCTATATGTGCAAATTATTTCCCAGACTCTGTGACAGACATGAAATCTCTGAATATTTCAAACTTATCCTGCAATTGACTTATTTTTCCTGTTTTTCAGACAGCTCTTAATGACTTGCAGCCTGTGGCCTGAACGTCCTGTCCAGACTGTAAGCAACACCTGCTGAGAGCTTTCCAGCACCTTCTTCTAGGACATGCCCTGTACCCTGGATCCCAAATCATCCTCTTAGATTCTTCCTTCTTTTGGGAGAACACTTTCTCCAGTAACTTCCTGAGAAAGAGTGACTAAGAGGTAAGTGTTTGGAGATCCTTGTTTCTCTTTATTCTCACCTCACATTTGATTGATAGTGTGGCTGACTCCAGATTGGAAATAATTTTCTCTCAGGATTTTGAAGGCATTGTTCTATTGTCTTTAGCTTTCCTTGTTACTGAGACATCAGATCCCTAACAGGTTCTGAGGTTTGTGTGTGATCTGCTTATTTATTTTGGAAGTTTTTAGGATTTTTTCCACTTCTTTGTGGAAATGGAATATGATGCTATTCCTCGGAATCATTTTAAAAATAAAAAAAAAAGTTAAAGTTCAATTCATGGTGAATATACTTGGAATATCTTTTAAGATCTTGGAATATATTCCTCTTAGTTCTGGAGCAGTTCTTGTATTTTTTTATAATTGTATTTCTGTTTTCTTTATTTTCTTTTTCTGTAACTTCTATTAGCTGAATGATGGACCTCTTAGATTAATCCTTGTATTTTCTTATCTTATTTTCTTTTTAAGATCTATTTTTTTCTTTTTTAATTGAAGTATAGTTGATAGGCAATATTATATTGGTTTCAAGCACATAACATAGTGGTTCAACAGTTATTCACGTTATTAAATCCTCACCCCAACTAGTGCAGTAACTGTCTGTCAACATAGGAAGATATTACAGAACCATTGGCTATGTTCTCCATGCTGCACTTCCATCCTCGTGACCAACTTACGATTGAGACTTTTTGTGCCGTTTTATCCCCTTCACTGTCCCTCCCCACCCACGCCCAGCCCTCGCCCATGCTAACCATCAGTCACTTTTCATGTCTGTAAGTCTCCTGCTGTTTTATTCATTTTGTTTTGTTTATAGATTTCACAAATAAGTGAAGTCATGTGGTATTTGTCTTTCTCCACCTAGCTTATTTCACTTGGCATAATACCCTCTAGATCCATCCATGTTGTCACAAATGACAGGATTTCTTCCCTTTTTAATGGTTGATTAATATTCCATTGTGTATACGTACCACTTCTTATTTATCCATTCATCTACTGATGGATGTTTTGTTGCTTCTATATCTTGGCTATTGTAAATAATGAGGCGATTAACATAGGGGTGCGCATATCTTTTCGAATCAGGGATTTTGTTTTCTTTGGGTAAATTCCTAGAAGTGGAATTACTGGATCAAATGTTATTTCTATTTTTAGTTTTTTGATTGATCTCCATACTGCTTTCCATAGTGGCTGCACCACTTTACATTCCCACTGACAGTGTAGGGGGGCTCCCATTTCTCCACATCCTTGCCAACACTTGTCATTTCTTGTCATTTGGATGGTGGTCATTCTGACTAGTGTGAGGTATATCTCATTGTGGTTTTGGTTTGCATTTCCCTTATGATTGGCAACGTGGAGCATCTTTTCATGTGCCTGTTTGTTGTTTGTATGTCTTCTTTGGAAAAATGTTCAGGTCCTCTGCCCATTTTTTCATTGGGTTATTTATTTTTTGGTGTTGAGGCATGTGAGTTCTTTATATATTTTGGATGCTAACCTCTTATCAGATAAATTGTTTGCAAATATATTCTCCCATACTGTAGTTTACCTTTTTGTTCTGTTGATGGTGTCTTTTGCTGTACAGAAGCTTTTTAGTTTAATGTAGTCCCACTTGTTCATCTTTGATTTTCCCTTGCCCAGGAGGATGTGTCCAGAAAAAAATTGCTCATGGTTATGTTCGAGAGATTGTTGCCTATGTTTTCTTCTAAGAGTTTTATGTTTTATGGTTTCATGTCTTACATTTAGGTCTTTAATCCATTTTGAGTTTTGTGTATGGGTTTAGACAGTAATCCAGTTTCATTCTCTTGCATGTAGCTGTCCAGTTTTCCAACACCGTTTATTGATATTGAAAGGACTGTCTTTTCCCCATTGTATAGTCATGGTTCCTTTGTTATATATTAATTGACCATATATCTATGGTTTTATTTCTGGGCTCTCTATTCTGTTCCATTGATCTATGGGTCTGTTCTTGTGCCAGTACCATACTGTTTTGATTACTGTAGCTTTGTAGTATTGCATGAATTCAGGGAGCGTAATACCGCCAACTTTGTTCTTCTTTCTCAGGATTACTTTGGTTGTTTAGGGTCTTTTGTGGTTCCGTATGAATTTTAGGATTATTTGCTCTAGTTAAATTAAAATCTCTTTTTAATGGAGATATCTTCTACTTCATACTCCAAATATTCTATTTATTAAAAAAATACTGCTGTCATATTTTTAATTTCAAAGAGATTTTTTCTTGTTTTCTGACGGTTTGTTTTTATAGCCCCCTTGTCCTTATTGCATGAAATACAGTATCTTCTAATTTTTCTGAATGTATTAAAATACATACATTATGTATATTTTTTCCTCTGCTCCTGCAATCTCTCTTTCCTTTGGAATTCTTTTATGTCCTGTTTGCCATAATCTTTCAGTTAGAGACTTTTCTCCAGTGCCTGGTTTTATTTCCACATGTATGTGAGTGAGGCACCAGACATGCCTGGGAACCTCCCTGTGGGTGAGGCTTGCTGACCAGCAGGCTTCAGTATAGGGTGGTTGGGCTGAGGGGACACTTGGCTATTTCCATATGGGTTTCCCCAGTGTTAGTATCTCTAGGTCTTTTCTCTAGGGGTGGTCAGTTTCTCATAGAGAAATCCTCCCATTATGTGCCTGGAGGAGGGGTATAGGTCTGACTGAGAATTTCCCAGATGCTGAAAGGGAGAAGGTAGCATAAACCTTTACTGTTCAGTATATGGACTTACCTTTATTCCCTTTGTTTTTAATAAGGCCTCTCAGCTTTAATGTGGCCATTCTCATCTGTGTTTGCCCTCCTTGAGTTCAGAACCTCTTTGACCCGAACTCTCCAGAGAGTTGACCTCTCAACCTTTTTCATGGTGAGGGTAGGGTGCTCATCTTGCAAGGAGGTCAGGGTAGGATTCCTAGTTTTCATGTGGATTTTCCACAAGTCTTCCTGCTTTTAGCCACACCTATGCCTCTGAGGCATTTGCAGCGTCCTCATTTTCTGGGCCTTTCAGGGCCCTGAATGGGCTTGCTCACCCAAGTGCAGGCTTCAGTTTCAAGCTTCTTTGATCTGCTAGTCAGGTGTCTCTTGCCCGTCTCTCTGCTTTTCAGCTTCCAGGCTGGTGTTGAGATACTTGTCTTCCGTCATCTCTTCTTTTCTTTGTCCTTGTGGTTTCTGTCACTGTTAGACCTTCATTGCTATTGTCATATTTCTGCTGGGAGGAGCAGAGGTAAGTATGTATGTTCAGCCTTCTTTGTTTACCCTGAACTCCTACATTTACTCTTTGCAGTGGAAGCATGACCAAAGACACAGCTCATCAGCTTGTTATGTGTCCTCTCGAGAATGGCCTTTACCTGTGCCCTGTTTCCTTGCTGGGATGCTGTTGTATGTAAGAAACAGAAAGCCCAACTCAAGTGGCCGAAGTGTGAAGGGAATTATCTCACTTAACAAGAAGCTCTGATGTACGGCAGCTCCAGATTTGGTTAATTCAGCAGCTCAAAAATGTCACTGAGAGCACAAGTTGTTTACATTTTTCCACCCACTGTAGTGCTTTCATGGTCACAAAATGGCTATGTGGTTCACCCAGCCTTCCTGTCCTTATACACAAAAAGTGTCCACAGGCAGGAAAGACAGCACCCTTTCATTGTTTTACTCTCTTTAGAAATGTGTAATTATGTCTTAGACTGTTCGGGCTGCTGTAACAAAGTACCATTGACTGGGTGGCTTAGAAACAGCAAACATTTATTTCTCACAGGTCTGGAGGCTGGGAAGTCCAGAATCTTGGCACCAGCAGATTCCATGTTTGGAGAGGGCTCTCTTGTTCATAGATGGCTGTCTTTCTGCTGTTTCTTAACGTGGCTGAAGAGGAAGGGGTCTCCCTGGCTCCTCTCTCATGAGCACTCTGCCCTCGTGGCCTAATCACCGCCAAAAGGCCCCATCTCAAAATGCCATCACTTGAGGGGTTATTATTTCAACATATGAATTTTGGAGGACACGAACAATCAGACCATAGCCAACTGTTTGAGTAGGTGTTACATATACAAGTTTGCAAATCTAAAACACTTAAAAGGCGTGCAGTGAAAGTCTCCCTATTACTCCAATACTATCTCCTCACTAATAGCACTTTCCTTGTTTATTCTTCCAGAATCTCTTTATGAAATAAGGCATATTACAAGCAAATACGAACATGCAGTTTTATCTACCCCACTTTCATTTTCCCCAAATGTTCGCATACTCTAAGAATTTTTTAGCACTGCTTTTTTTTCACCTAAAAAATATTTTGGTCCACAAAGTGCATCCTTAATAATGTTTTGTAGCTGTATCATATTGCTTTATGTGCATGTAACCTGTATGGATGCCTGGACCACACCAGGTTCTGTTAGAAAGAGAGACGGAGTTGATGCAGTTAGGGACTCATCCCCCAGTGTTAGGACTGCATTCCTGGTCCGTCCACCTGCTTTAGAGGGGTTGGTGTCAGACTTGTGCCTTCAAGGTCAGGTACAGCTGCTTTGGGACTATCCATTCTCATATGCTCAATGCTGCTTGGCTCCCTGGGGTAGGAGGATGGTCTGTGGTTGTGGAAGCAGTCTGACGTATGTTTCCTGATCTCTTACCTGGCAACAGCCAAGATCTAAGATATTGGTTACACAAACCAGGCCAGAGAAGTTTAGGCTTTAGAGCTGGTAGCCCTGGGTTCAATTGCCCTCTATGCTGTGTACTAGCTGTATACCCACTTAGCCTCAGACAAGCCTTAGTTTTCTCAGTAGCAAAACTGGACCAGGAACCTCAGTGGCTATCAGGACGCTGAGTGGTATGTGTGTCGTGTGCGCAGCCCAGGGACTGGCCCTGAGTGTACTCAGCAGAGGACTGGCCTGACTCAAGTCCCCTGTCTCCCAGAAGGCAGGGAGGAATATTCCACCAGCTCTGCCCTGGATCATGAGCTCCTGGGGTATGGCAGCAGAGGGAGCTCATTTGTCCCTGTGTTCCCAGGCCC